TTTGTTTTGGCCACGAGTCGACACCCATCTTGACGAAAAGTGTATCAGATTTTATTATATTTTCTGTAGTGCGTTGGAAATAGGCATCTTCGTTGGTCACACCAAATTTCATGGTGAAAAGCTGGAAGAGTCTACGACGAGCCTCGAAAGCAGTGTATGGCCTTCCGTTATCGGTCATCGGAATTCGGTGGTGGGCACTTCATACCGTGGTTTGCTTTTAGCCACCTTGTCCAATAATGAGATAGGATACGTATCTACATAGATGAAATAAAAAAATTGCTCAGCTGTAGCACCCTTTTTGTGCCCAACTACCATGCCAATGGAAGGGGGCGCGAGGGCTGGGATACTGCCAGGTTGCCCAGGCCTAGACAGGAGAAGTCGAGATGCAGAGGTCGGTATCAAACCATGTACCTTGCGGTCAGTAAATTCGCGCTCTAATCACTAAACCATCTGAATAGGTGGACGATTAATTGTTGAACTGTACTCAATCGCGATCCATCCTTTGTGAATGGCGTTCTTCGTAACGAGCACTTGAACCCTCCAATGGAAGGCCGAGGATTCGGTAACTCCCAAGGTTCCTACATCTCCTGACACCAATTCAGGAAATCTGAATAGAAATTGACAACAAGAACGCCACTGATATCTATTAGCAGCCATATCTTGAAGCGTTTCCGACCAGACGCAGTGGGGATCATACGGTTCTCATCCTGAAAGGCGAGTAGCACCGACAGCACCCAAACTTTTCGCAACATTTTTCATACCCCTCTGCCAGATCAAGGGTTGGCCACTTGTTAGCTTCCACTACTTAGAGTTGGACATGGAAAAGAGCACTCTTCGGCAAACGATGGTTCAGCATACATAATACATGGTCCAGCCAACGCAGCCTCGGGTGTTGGACACATTCTTCGATGGAAGTCCCAGGAACCGAAGAAAAAACATGAAATCCAGCGCCTTCGCTCCGAAAATGAGAACGATATCTTCTGCATATTCCAGATTGAAAAGGTTTATCGTCACAGGCTATTCGAATACGAGGGTCTTGAAGGTTTTCCGGTGTCCATCTCATTATTTCATCGACCACGAAGTTAAATAGGAAAGAAAAAAGAAAGAAAGCGTTCAGCTGTAGCAGCCTTCCGGTGCCTAGCTGCCATGCCACCTGAAGGAAGCACGAGGGCTGGGATACTGCCAGGTTGCCCAAGCCTAGACAGGGGAAGTCGAGTGGCAGAGGTCGGGTTCGAACCACGGACCTTCCAGTTAGTAGATTCGCGCTCTAGCCACCTGAGCCATCTCGCCCCCCAGAGCCATCCCTGACGGACACCGCTTTTGTAAGGAAGCTTTTGGAGAGATCGCCGCATACTCACGTGCGGAATTCCGAAAATACTAAGGGCGTACTATGTTCAAAAACTTCTTGGGCATTCCTTGGTGAGCAAGAGTCAAGAAAAATAGATCGGCCAACCGAGTGGAATGCGCTTTGGAAATCCAAGTACACCAGAATTGTGGGTCGCTCTGACGTCTGGCGTTGTTCTAGTAACTGACGGAGTGTAAAGATTTGATCAACGCAACCTCTACTGGGCCCGAATCCCGCTTGCTGCTCTCGAGTCAGTGTCTCACGAGCCACCAAAAGGCCACGAAGCACGGTTAACGCCAACAGTCTCGTTAAGTTGGTATCAAGCTGATACCTTGTGTTTACCACATCATTTTCTTCAAAATGAGCATCATCACCGACTCTCTTCAGTTATCTGAGATGATCTCGTCCTCTCAGTTGTAGGCAAACAGATCAGACAAGCGCTGACCGAGGACTTCACCCCCACCTATGAACAAGGTGGGTGGGAAGTCATCAGGATCTTAGGCTCGGTGGCGCTTGAGAGAACATACCCAGTCATAAACCTCTGAGGACGTAGGTGGTACCACGTTCACGGTCCAGGGTTCTACGTCAACCCTGGACTCCATATGAGTGGCAGCTGGTGGTCACGACAATTGCTGTTCGAAGTATTCGGCCCACTGGTCGAGGCGTTCTTCTTTGATGGTGACTCCTTTCCTATCCTTGATGGCTTCGCTCACAGGTGGTTTCTGGGGACCGGTCGCACGGGTCAACTGAAATACTCTCCGGACATTACTGGCATCCTGGGCCTCTTCCATTTCCTTGGCTTTCTGCGTCCACCGTACTTCACAGTTGGCTCGCACCCTCAATTTCACGTGACGTCTGATAATTCGTCGAGATTTAAGCAATGCCACTATCCAGTCTGATATTCAGTGCTAGATTACGCCCGGTGGTGTCGTGCCAGAGGCTAAATTCCCAGCACAATGCGAACAGGTGGCAATCTCGTCCCAGTATGGGTTCACATCTGGTGGTGGAATAAACTATAGAGGACGATTCCGGCAAATTTGACAAACCCGGATTTGCCAGTCTCTCAGTTGCCAAGCGATTTGTCCGCACCTTACACCACCCTGAAGAACGTGGGAAGGGGCTCCGGACGTGCGCGTGCTCGGAATCCACAAATGTGTTCCAAAACGACCGACAGTCGGTTACCGATCCACGCCATCGGTAACTGATGGTAATGTGATCTATTTCGGTCTGTGGCTGGCATGCCGTTGGAGGACACCATGTAGCCTGATGACTTCGGTTATTTCGGAAGTTAGTACTGCGATCAGCACACAGCTGAAGCAATCGTTCAAATTGTTAGTACGTTCCGAGTCCAATCCATATCGACCTCCAAATTGAGTTTTAGACACGCTAAGTCTGCTCACTTGTACATTCATATCTTCGGCAACCACAATGAAGATGTCGTGACTTTGTTGCAATTAGGTTGTGATCTGGAGACAAGTTGCCGAACATGGGATCTCACTTGATTTTATCAGGTGCTGGACCACAACTAGTTAAAGTGCCCTGAATCATGTCCTGGTAACATCTGCGAGCAAGCTTGGACGAATTGAGTTCGAGTAATTCGTACCGTACACCCTTATGTTTAACAGCGACGCAAAAGGAGGTGGTGGTGAAACAAGAAACCAAAGTGGATGCTGTAGTGTTTACAGAAACGGACGATATGGCTCAGTGGTTGGAACGCGAATTTACTGACCGGAAGTTCTGTGGTTCGGGCCCAACCTCTGCCTCTCGACTTCCCCTGTATAGGCTTGAGAAACCTGGCATCATCCCAGCCATCGTGCTTCCTTCTGGTGGCATGGCAGTTAGGCACCCACAGGGTGCTACAGCGGAACGATTTTTACAGAAACCTTTACATAAAGTTTTAACTTGCTTGTTTCCTAACCGAAATCGTAACGTAACTACCGAAAATTCCACTGTCGAAAATGGCTTTGAGATTTACGTTCCAAGACATACAGTCAAGAGCTGGGGCGACGAACAACGCAGAATGAAACGGTTCAAATAGATTCTGTATATTTCACTTTACATACATGTCGGAAGTGACCCGTTCTCCTCTAGGCTTAGCTGCTTACTTGGCGGACAGAACATTTGAATTCGGGGCGGCTAATATGGCCACAAAAATAGCAAGGCCGGTCTGTAAGTGATGTTTTAGAGTCATCGGTTGTGGTAAACACTTATGGCAACAACGAAGAGGAGCGGTGGAACTCGCGTATGATTGGTACACAGTTCTCTCGAGTTCGTGCGCTTCATTAGCACCCGTCTCGTGTTGTGCAAGATGTTGCTATCGACTGATATCAAACTAAAGACCAACATCTGGCGTTTCTCATATTGGTTCATCGATGTACTTCAACGCCCAAACCATCCCGAACTCACAGTTCTTTGCCAGAGGTTTCAGTGTGTGCACAGAATCATCGGCGTCCTGCTCAGTCTCTTATTTGCAAGTAGTGTATATGAATGCGAGTGAAACCAAATTAATACAGCCACGAAATCTTTCATCTTCAGAAAGCCTGGGTTCCACACTCAGAATTCAAGAGCCGTACCTTGGAACCTCCTGTCCCATGGCTGACATTTTGGAAGCATTTCCTAGTTTTACATGACAAGCTCCCGTGTTTGCATGCGTATTAGAAGCATCTTGAAGTCGATTGGTAGCCTACCACTACCAATTATTCGCGCCACCGTAGGACCAAGTGTCCTCACACTAGGAATAACCCGAGCAAACGGATGGGAGTATGGTCTTACCTAGTGATTCGAAGCCTCGACATCGCTTCACTTTTTCGCTTCAAGACGTGCCAGCTACATATAAGTTTGACCCAGGTAACCAGGGAAGGTTGGCTCAACCCGAGAGTAAATAAGTAGTTTAACGTGAGCATGTCTGGTTGCCTATGCTGCGCGCCGGAGGATGCGTTTGGAGCTGTATCAGGATGTTGATAGGATTTAGTCGTTCCTCAGCGCTATTGGATATTGCGACGTGGGCGAAGTTCAACTATTTGGTAACGAAGTGATGTTTTCAGGGGTGGCCTGTTTTTGTCTGTCCCCGAAGGAAGGCAGCGAGAGTGCTCCCATAAAAATATAAATGATCTGCTGGAGGAAACATATTACTTCCCTAGTACAACATTAAGTAACTTTGCGGTCAGATCTAGTAATACGATTGATTACAGTACGAGACTCTTTACTTTTTCCGGTTGGTTCTTCTAGGTCCAAGTGACATGCTTAAACCCTGAGGCTGACAGCTTTTGGGCACAAAAAGTCAAAGGCTGTTAAGAACAATCAGTCGTAATGCAGTAAGCTCCGCAGTGTTTGAGCAACCTGACAGATTTCAGTTTGTCTAAGAGCTATTAAATTTGTTTACTGTATTTCGTTTGAACTGTATTAAGAAGGCATCCACAACATACTACTCGACCATTAGGATTAAAGTTCTACCAGGACGGATATTTTGGTTGGTGGGATATAAATGTGATTTTTCGATGTGTTTCCCAACGCGAGTTTATATGAGGCAATAGAAAAGCTAGCTGAATAACTGGTTACCCAAATTGAACACTCAACGCTTATCCAGTTATTGATTTCTAGGCTTGTTCTGATTTCTAACAGCCACCGTTTCCAGTCCCCCGCAGAAGGAGGATGGCTGTTCGGTACGCCCCATACAAATTCCAATCGTTGCTCGCGTTTTTGGACTAGGTAACTTTTCCTCTCGTCTAAAGCGTGGTGGGAGGGGACTTTGCTTAATTTCAGGACTCTGACAATCAAAGTACTGCTCGCCAAAATTCTTGCATTCTCTGGCACTTGCCGGATGATTTTTCTAATTTTCAGTAATAACGATGCTGGTTTATGTTGACCATTGAGATGTAAGTTTTTTCTCATCTCTGTTTCAGATTAGTTTTTTCTAGCACTGGGCGACTAAGTGGTAAAACTCACTAAAACCCATACGAAATGGTTTTCTTCTATAAGTGTGAGCTCGTACATCCGGCTTATATAATCTACATGGGTGCTGACAAAAATGAAAACGAAGAGCTTATCCGTTGGGGGTGGCCTGAGGACGTTTGGTTTCACGTTGATAAACTTTCCTCTGCTCACGTTTACTTGAGACTTCGTGAAGGTGAAACACTGGATGATGTACCAGATGCTGTACTGAAAGACTGTGCTCAGCTCGTCAAGGAAAACAGCATTCAAGTGGGTTTCCCTAAGTTTTTCTCAATTTTGCATACGCTCACCAGGATTTCGGCTCGAGTCATATAATCTGCAATTTCTATATTATGCACACAACCTTGACAAAAATTCAAATGTTTCCAAGTTTTCGGTTTATTTTTTTACAATCCATGCAATAAAGTAAACGTTGCATGTTATTAGTGCGTGAAATAAAAGCCTATCTAAGCGTCCACAGGCAACCCCTGTAATTTCACAATACTTGTTTCGTAATTGTGTCCAAGTTGATTGCGACAAAATGACTCCTACGCGTCTTATCCAACCCTCGTGGATGGTTTTTGCTGACCATACAGAATTAAGTAGATACATTGTTCACGGTTGAACCTTGCACTTACGAGGATATCGACCAACAAATAACCCACGCACTGACTGAGACGTAGGTATATCACCCTAGAAAAATGCCATGCCACACAGCTTGGTATGCGTTTCAAAGCTACTACCTAATACACCGCTGCAAGACTGACAAACAGCAGATTCGATTCACGTTTGCAGGAAAGCGGATCGGTGTAATTAGAGAATTGGTTTACCGTAGCAACCAGGTCCGTGTGTTGTAGCTAGAGATAGCATCTCAGCTCCGATAGTTTGCACGTAAATGGACCTCGAACTTACCTGTAAATGGTAGAATCCGCAATTCTGTGATGGGTTTCTTATTGTGGAGTGGGTCAGAAATCCAGTTCTTTGAATAGATGTAAACAAAATTGGCTCGTGATTATCAGCTTCCAGGGCTGGTAGGAACGTTGGACCTTAATATTGAAGCAGATAGAATAGATTTCGGTGGAAGCGACTCACTCTTGGCGGGTGAGCGGATAAGCCTACTATATACCATCAGTCTAGGTTTCTTGGAAAGCACTTTCCCTGCAGGTGGGTATACTATGAAAAAATCAGAGCAATTTAATTGACAGCCTGTTACTTTAACAGTGGTCGTTTGTGCATGGGTGCTTGGGATATACACTCTGAAATAGCACTGCTAAATGCATATCGGATCAATCTGCCGTTAATCTGCACCTCATATTGGCGATAAACCAAGTATTAAGGATACGTTGGTTCAAGCTGCTGCAGTTTCAGTCACCAGCAAGTGGGGGAGCAGTTGAGGTGCAGTCAGACATGGGGGGTGATTGAATAATGTTCACTGGTCAGTTAAAAAGTTGAGTCATTCTGGTTACTTGAGTAAACGGTATTGGACAGCTACGCATTAAGGACGATAGTTGTCTTGCAGGAACGCTACTGTGTTTAGGACATCTCCGTGATTGGTATTAACCATTAATGAGTTGAGTCCCGGGGTTACTATCCAGGTATAGGTTTTCAAAGCAGTTTACTAGTGCTGTTATACTTCGCTACCAGGTCATATATTCTCTCTTTCGAGGTCGGTGACACTGAGCACACCTAGAGAGTAATAGCTGTGCGAGGTAGATGGTCCTCTGACATTCATGACATACATGTCCTAATTAGCGTAAGTAGCTCATCTGTCGCGGGGAAGTTCCTCCTTCCTACCTCAGTGGCGCTAATCCAATGTTCCCAACAGACTCAGTCAATGCTTCGGAGACCCCAGTGGTCAAGTATAAAAAGCTTTCTTACATCCTCTGCGCATAGAGAGTACGTTTCCAATTCACAAAACAGTATGGAAAGTATGGTCGCAGTGTACATCCTGCCCTTACCAAGCCAACTTACGTTTTACGAGCACCGTATTGTCGACAGTTAACAGACGTTCTTCTACCGCGTTTGAGAAATGGCCTCATCTCCAACCACGCTCTTGAAGCTTGTACAAATGACCAAGGTAAATGAATTCAACCTTTATGTCGATCGACTGGTGTGCAGTTGCGAGGTTTGATGTTTTATCCTGCGTAGTCTTGCCGCAGCGCTTTAAAGGTATGAGACCCACACGAAACCGTGCGATAGAGTTGTTTAGAGCATGTGAATCAAGGAGACCAATATCATCCGTGTACGCGATATGAGTGAGCAGACGCTCCGCTTTTCAGGTGGAGGCAGAAAAGTTCCATGTAGTACACCAATGTAGTTGAAAAGGAATCCTAAGAGGATGGATGAATGGTATCTGGCGCATGACTTCAGCTGCTGATGGTGGGTTGTTATCGATGTTCCATTCAGGGTTATTCCAGAGGTTGTGGCGACAACCCGGCTGAATATTTCTTTAAATTGTTTTCCTGACCTCGCTGGAATCCAGTTTTCATTTGGTCAGGACAGCTGGCTTGGACAGGCAGTCCTAAAAGTTGAGAGCTTTTTTCGCTCTTCCATTTATCCTCCAACTAATATTGACATCAGTGTGGCTGTGCGTTTCCAGTAGCCTTCCAGCTAAATCAGCTTGATACTGTTGAGCATTGTTTTTTTCTGAATTTTTGAGGCACTGGGTATCAAGCTAAGCAGTTTTCTGAAGTTGCCGACATTGTTAGCACTATTCTTCGTACGTGTGTTAGGATTGCGAGGAGGTGGTCAATGAAGCGTCGCTGTTGCTGGCCCACACACTGGCTAGAGGACACTGATTCCGGTGCCGCTTAATGGACACCAGGGATACAGCAGCAAAAGATTATCATCGGGAGAGTAACAAAGCATGGGTGACTCTATAGTTACGGTAGTGTACCGTGCATGAGATCATCATAGACTTCAGTACTGGGCATGCCGAATCTCAATCAAATACCAGTGTTTCTGTGGAAATAAAATATGAAAATGAATGTAGTTCCATAAATTTTCGTACAAATAAAAACCTGCTAGGACTGGTTCTAACAAATATATACAGAGGTACATTCTCAGTTTGATAATGGAAGAAGTTATTTCGAATCAAGAGTAAGCTAATCCGTGCAGTCAATTGCTGGAGGTTTTCGCTAATCCAACCGAATCGTGAAGTTAATGTGTGTTCTGTATGTGACCGGCCACCCTCACTTCTTATGTTTACTTCCCTTCCCTTGTTTCAAGTTGTCTATAACTGTTCTGTTCTTCAGGAGTTATCATTCACCTCAGAATTGTTGTGTTCCAGTTTACTTTCGTTTTGTTATCAGAAGCATTCAGCTTCTTTATCTAATGCATCACTTGTGTTAACCGTTGCACAATTTCAGTCTCAGCTTGAACCAACGCATGGATGACGTCTCCTTGGTTGATAGGAGAGCATCTGGGCACTAAATTGCCAAGCCAAACGACCTATTCTCACAACTCTATCAAATGTAGTCTTGTTACTTTGTTCTGGTACATTTTTCGCGATGACGTTTTCGCTCTGGTTACCAGATAGGTTCCATTTATCTCTATCAGATTTGGTGATGCTTATGGTCTCCCTCAATGGTCTTCAGGGCTGCAAACTGAATGATGTTACGGTGGTCTATACGATGTGGGAGAATCTCAAAAAGACCGGCGACATGGCTGTGGGTCAAGTTGGTTTCCACAGCGGCAAAGCTGTCCGAAAAATCACCGTGGAGAAACGGATAGGTGAGGTCATCAAACGGTTAGAAAAGACCAAGGAGGAGCGCCTAAATTTCGACTACCGCGCAGAGCGAGAAGAGCGAGACCAACGAATTAGAGCGAAAGAAAAGGCAGCTCAAACGGCGAGAAAAAAGGCCGAACGGGAAGCACAGAAAATTCGAGAGGCGGAGGCAGAAAGACGCTCCTACGACAGACTTTTCGTGGAAAGCAAAATGCGAACCAATGAAGATGGATATGATTCTGATGATTTCATGTGACATTTGAACAATACATCATTCCCCCTACGTTCTTTTATGATATGGGCAAATAAAGATCCTGTTGACTCATTAGCTTGAGTTTCCTAAGACAAGAATTTTTCGACTAACCGTTTCGCCCTATGGTGTTGACTATTTTCGTGAATTATTTTTGCATGGTATGTCTACCCTGCATATTCTTCTCGGCTCATGTACGTATTAGGTTCCTTTTTTGCTTGAGTGAAAGCGTTAGGTTCACATTAAGCAAGTGAAGTGTTGTTTTCCAAACAGAAATAAGGCAAACAACAGACTCTCTACGCCACAGGCATCCAAACTACCTTTGCAGACAGTTTGGGTGACACAAGTGTAAAAATTGTTGTTCTGTTGGACACTGATCTATTCCAGACTGTTTTTCCCAATGATCATCTTGAACTTGAAATGCTCCACCAACCTGTAATATTGTTCTAAGCCTGATATTATTACTGCTGCACCGAGGCTTTCGTTTTCCATGTTAGCAGTGGGTACATTCGTTAGTTTAGAGCGCCAGGAAACTTATGCCTGCATCCTATATTTCCACTCGTAATAATGTGTAGTCAGGAGCGTGCGGCACGAGCAGCGGAATTGAGGACTCCATGTCACGTTGTTGGCTACCGACCTGTGTTTCGTCGTCATTTCACTACAAAATATCACTGAAAAGCATAGGGCATTAGTAATTTGCAACGCTTAGCAGGTGTTTTCCAAGATTTCTTTCAGTTAGATCATCCTGTTCAGTACACTGACTTATTTTGATCAGAACGCGAGGTCTACCAGCGGGTAAACCCAGGGACTGAACCATCGCTGACGGAACCAACTCACGTCAAGAGAAAACTACATGAAAATAGTTTAGGACTCGCACTGTCTTCAGTATCGAGCTAATTCGGAAACGACACAGCATTTTTGAAGATAATACCTTCCTCGCTTTTCATTGATTCCCCACAAAAAACTATTTTGGTCGGTCCGGGACAAGACTGCTGACTTGGGTCGATTGGATGGGTAACGGAAGAACTTTTAGCTGATATGATAGTTCCGTAATTTCCGTCGTTCGCGACAGGTCCAATCTGGTAATTGGTGAATTGCTGTTGTCTATGTCTACATCTTTTGGGATGCATAGAATATAATTATTGCCATTAGTACCGATCGTCGCGTGGCGTGCGTTGCCTGATTTATTCGTCCTGGGCTTGGAATATATTGCGCCCCACCGTGTTCCTTACTTTTCACCTATAGGCACTCCAAATTAAAATAGCTTACTGAACACAAGGGTAGAAGATGAAGCATTGCAACGTCGCCTCTGTTCGGTCATGGTTGTCAGTTGTGAAATTTAAAAATATGCTCCGAGTCTCCACTCTTGGCTTGACAAATTGGATAAGAATTCCTATGTTGACACCAAATGTTCTTCCTTTGAAGTTTTAGGCATCTGTCGAAAAACGCACCTGTCAGTATAGGACTGCCAATCATTACTGGCTATGAAGTTTGAAGCTATGCATAACTGAAGGCTAATGAAAGGATGACAATACTGTTCGTGAATCAAATAAGTTTCGGTGTGAAACTCGCGCAAATTCCTTCAGGTAGTTTGGCAGGAGAAGTTTTACCTAAACAGTCTGATATTGACTCAGATGAAAGAAAGGTCGCAACGATTTGCAACTATTATTGAGTTCGTTGAATTGCAACGAAACGGGTTAAAGCTAAAAGTAACTCCCTCTATTGTGTTTTAAGGATTTGTGAGTATACTTTTATTCCTCCAATGGAACACTGGGAACAATTGAAGGCCTTACATTTTTAAACCTGAGCATCACATACACTGCGGTTCAGAAACCTGGAAACGAGAAAAGAATCTTTTCGTTTTCAAACTTCACCTTATTTTGGAGGGAATTCCAAACATCCAGGACCTCAACACACCACTTAGCTCGATTCCTCCGAACTAGTGATTTCTTTCTATTGTTTGGGCGAAATGAAACCACTCAGTACGGTAAGAGTAGCACCAATCAGCTACAAAATGCAGGCACATCCAGTCCAGTCGACATATGAATATGAAGGTGGGGATGCTCGGTTACAATCTTAATCTTGTGATCTCCCAAAGTCTACGGTCTCCTGTGCTAAATGATGCAATGATTTAAGGCGTCCACTGTGACAGATCGTTAGTTGGCATAAACAAATGGTGTTCGTAAACCGCGATTATTGTACCGCTCAGTAACGCAAAACAATACCAACCATGGAAAAATCCCTTCAGAGTCCTCTTCACTTGCAAACTGATCCGTAGCGTATATGCTTCCGACTAGCGACAAAACCACGTTTATGGGCTACAGGCACAAAGTAAGTGAACTGAAAATATAGACATGCCATCTACTTTGTTCACGATCACAATAGAAAAACCTTCATCGGGCTTCTTGAACACGAACGTCGCCAGATAGCCTGGTAATGCTTGGGGTGCAGACAACTAGTCTGAAGGATTGTGAATGAAGCGCTCAGACATGCTAAATTAGCCTTGAAATATGCGTCTTTGTCAACTTCAATAGCCCTCATATCCTGGATAGGATCGCACAAGTTTTCTGGGTAGCTGAAGAAAACTGACCCAAAAGTAAAAGGTTCAATCGATCCCGGATAAAATGACCACAGGTTATACAAATGCTTCCCGGTTCACCATTGGAGACAGTATATCCTGAGGACTTGTGTTTTCACAATACTGAAAGTTTTTCGGCAACGGTGAAAAAGAGACAAGGTAGCAAGGTTGGTTGTTATCCGAGACGTCCGCAACCGTTTAAAGAGGAACAGTAAAACAAGATTCCTTCTAAAACTGTCTCAGGTAGGCTGTTTTTCCATAGATGGAAGGTAATATTTTCTGGTGCTGGTGTGATCTCATACTCCGACCGAGTGGTAGCTAACAGCAGGCCTACAAGTACCTGTCTACCAACCGTATTGCCTCGGGTTTAAATCGGCATCAAAGGTGTGTATGCTCGTCTTCGAGCGAACCATTTATGCACAGGGGCAATCATTGTTAATAAGGAGCCATCCATTCATCATCATGATCATCGTCAGCTGCAATAAACGCGTACTTGTCGTACAGTGGTTGTAGCTGCCGCAGTTTCGTTCACCGATGATTTGGGGAGAGGGGTAAGTAGCTGCGCATTGCAGGCGGGAGCTGATAAATTGGTACATAAATCCAGCCATCCATTCATAGAGACGCGCAAAAGAAACAAACAATGAGGTGACTCGTCAAACTGAACATGCTTATGCTCATCCGCTACTGAAACACGTAGAATAATGCGAGAACAATCGGACTGTATTTGTTGGTATTTACATATGTAGTAAAGTCGTCCTTAAGCTGGAATCTTCCGGCGTTTGGGCGCCGGCTCCGATTCATGACTTTTCTTGCCCTCCTTCGAAGAACGTCCGCGGCGTTCGAAGCCTCGTTTCCGATGCCCAGTAAGCGCAGTGCGTAGAGAAGCGCCTGGGCGAAGTTGTTCTAATTTTTCGGGTTTGCCAACATGAACCCGGCCGATTCGACTTCCAAAGACGTCGATGTGGCGATTTTTAGTCGTCTTTTTGGCCATTCTCGTTTCCGGAGGCACACGGTGAGCACGTTTCCACTTCTCCTGAAAAGGTAAGAATATATGCACAAAACAGCGATATCACGGTGAGAAACGATCAGCATTAGAAGGAAATACCGGCCGGATAACTTCAAATGAAGTTGAGAATATCCGACAATCGGCACCACCAGTTACAGGTGACAAAGGAGGTGCACTCGAGTTAAGTATGGATTAGTCGTTTGACACAGGGCCAAAATAGCACCAAGTTACTGTGGACTCCTCCCGTAAGCGCACTCATCTAGCTGGTGGAAACTACAGAGTAAAACCAGACCTCAAAGCAATTACCGATGAGCTCAATCATGCCCACGGTCCTTCTGACTTCTGAAGTATGTGGATCTCCCAAAACAACCAGAGTATCCGCTCCTCAGGGAAATCCGTTATGACTTATCTATGACATCTAGCTCCAACGAGAAAACGCTCCCACTTAACCAAGGAACTGCACGATTCGGCTCCTCAAAAAAGTTTCAGCTCACAAAGAATGCCATGAACGTGATTATTATAAAATACAGAAAACCTACGTGACCAAGGGATGAGCCGTGAAAGACTTTGGGCGCATACCAAGGCATCGATGGTATCCTAAATGTTGGAAACTCGACCAGCTTAGTTGGAAAATGCCTTCAATTTTAGAGTCATAAACCTTTCGCTAGAAGTAAATTGTGATGAGATGAACTTTGTACTGAGACGGACAGCAATAAAATTACCACTCTCTCTTTCTCCGATCGTCACTTCGTCGGCCCTTCGATGCAGTTGTTAGTCATCGGACATAGGCTGCTTATCAGCGAAGATTCATGCGCCAGTTAATGGTTTAAGTGAACAACATCCGGAATACTAGAGGAACCTGAATACAAGTTAGCAACGTTGAGGGTGCTCCTGCTGTATGCCATTATACGGATGGTGTTACTTATGATATGCTTAAGTTGTACTGCAATATGTATCGAAGGCATGACCTGGGAGCAACGTAACCCAGAACCTCCAATCAAGCGGCAACCTTTTGAACGCATTCATAAACTGGACGTTTAGATGAGAACACTTGAATTTATCTAATTCGGAAATGCCAACTTCAGACAGGACTGTCACCTGCAAGCGAGTGATTGAGTGAAACAGCAAAAAATCCCATTAAACCCTCGAAATAAGTTGGCCTTAAGGCAACAGAACACCTCCGGTGGACAGACCCATTGCGAATCGTAGAATACATGCTGGAAGGCGAAATCAGTCTAAGGTCACCGGATGGTTCCTTCAAACACAACCTTTGTGAACTTTTGTAATATTCTGTGCGACTCGACACGACGTTGTACACTGATACAAGGGCCCCGGTCCCAAAAGAAGCCGAAGGCCCCTCCTTTGTATGGTGGCCCACATTCGGAAAGAAATACTGTGTAGATCTGTTTACACTGGAGATTCATCAAACAGCTACGATAAACGTGTTCACTGCATTATCAGAGGCTACTTTCTTTTGTACATGAGAAATGCAATAAGGGTTTGTTCGCACTAAAAGTTGTTGCCTTCTTCGTAACAATTCTTTTGGAACAGTGAAAGAACGCAGTAACCTAATCATATAATTTCGTTTTCAGTGGAACGTGGTCACGCTGTGGCAGTGAAGCATCAGTGCGAACACTAATGCTGCTGTCTTTGATGATGATGGTCGCCCTCGCAACAACAAATGTCATTAGTTACATGTAGTATTGCGGCTCATAGAATTCCCCGGAATCTGATTAAAACGAAATTCCCTCTCTCTATCTGGCATAAACATCACCCTAGGTCACGCTGTGTGAAGCATCAGTGCGAACACTAATGCTGCTGTCTTTGATGATGATGGTCGCCCTCGTAACAACAAATGTCATTAGTTACATGTAGTATTGCGGCTCATAGAATTCCCCGGAATCTGATTAAAACGAAATTCCCTCTCTCTATCTGGCATAAACATCACCCTAGAAACTCAGATCTTTCAGACCAATATCTTTGCGCTTCAATACAGTTTGCATGCTCTAAAAGCTGGCTTCAAATGTATTCATATGTGTGCATGGCAGCCACCATGTCTCTACAGTACAAGGATCCCTGTAACCGCTGAATTCGCCCGTTATAGATGGAATACTGTGAACCCTCCACAAAAATGCACTGAAATGCGTAGTTTACTCAATGAGCTTACATCTGACGGTAAGTTCACACGTCGTAGTTCAAAATCGACGCAAGGACCCGAATCTTCTAGGTTGAGTTCCACGGGCATTCCTGCAGGAGTTCGAAGGGGTTTTGCAACTTCCAGCTCTGGTGCATCG